TCCTGTACAGTCAAATACATGTGCACTTGACATCGACTGCTTGTACGCTGGGTTGTACCAAATACATTCAGCACTGGTGTTTATACCTAGCGTATTGGGTGTGTTCCCAAATATAACCCAGCATACTGGCGAGTGCTGATGACGTCATAAATCAACGCCATATTGTACTGTTGTGCCACCATGTTGTGGGGGTGAAACAAGTGTGACGCAGTAGTATACCAAACGAGCGTGTGTGCATCAGACTTAGAGGAATTTTTTATTGGTAATAACTTTAATAACTTTTGGAGCAAAATTGTTGTAAACGAGCACAAACGCTATTCTCAATATGGCGTTAATGTGACGTCATGACACTGGCCAGTATGTTTCGGAACGAATCAGCAGTATGGTGATGATGCATGACGTCAGCAGTATGCTGGGTTATATTTCGGAACACACCCATTATAAGCCTTGGTAAGTTCGCATTATATTTTAGTTTTTTAATTTATAGCTGGCTACGTTTTTCTGTGTTATCCTTTACGAATTTAGCTACAAACAAAGACACATGCGCATAACATCAACTGTAGATATACTTAATTGTTTATTTTGTAAACATAACTAACGCATCGGACGATTCTTCACTGCAATTTATTCATCTTACGCTAACCGCGGAAGTATACATCATTTATTTTCTCTAGCGATGTGCCCCTTCCAACGTCTTGGATGCGCGCTGGCAAAATCGTAGGTAAGGAGAAAAAAGCTCATTATACTCTCAACTTTTGTTCATTAAACATACTTTATCATACAGTACCTGCCAAAAGTTTTGTTCAATCATGAATAGTAGTAGAAAGAGTTGAAAACAAGCGTTGAAGCCTTTAATATGTCTTTAAATATAAATAAACATTTCGTTGATATTTTCAGTAGTAAATGGTACCAATAACAGCACATTTGAGCAATGAAATTGTAGTGGATAAAATGGTCAATTTTTCCGTGCAGTACTGTACGGATTATACGCTCCTCACCGGTTAAGAGTTTGGCCGAGAGTTGTCTCCTTCCTTTTCTGGCCTAGTGCTGTTCTTGTCTACTTTGCGCCGGTCAAACTGAAGGTCACATCGCTACAGAAAGTAAACGAAGTATACATTGATCACTAAAACAGTTACGGAATTCAGTTTGCACAATTTGCTAATGTGCTACTGTACGTGTGAGCAAAAAAAATAGTTGCTCAATTGTAAGGTATTGTTTGGTATTGAGGGCGCTTGAAATGCACCTTTCCCCACCTCCTATATAATATTAATGATGACTAAATGGAGCAATGATCTATCTTTGCCCACCCCGGCTGCATCGACTGCTCAAACCATAAATAATACATTTTTTTAACTTTAAAATTGGTCGCCGCTTCTTTCATTTTGTTACTCTCATGAGAGAGCCGTTACTGCATAAAATTAATTATTAGATGTTAATAAGAAACCATTTTTAAGTATGGCAAAGAAGACGCAAATTATTGCCTTAAATTGCTACCTATGTAATTATTTAAGTACTTTTTGTAGACTAATAGAACGCTTTAGTAGATTTGAACTAGTTACCCATATCTAGGCACGTTACATTATTGGTCCTTTGGGACCGATAGCGCAGTAAACTCCTATAGGGTATTTCACACTTACAAGTAAGTACTTGGAAATTGCATCCCTGCTGTTAAATCGTCTAAACTACAGTGATTTCGTTTACCGACGAAATTTCCCGATACTCTATGTACCCTAAAACTGTTAAAGGTTACGACATAGCGAAATAATTTGATTAAAATAATATTCTATAGTCCAATTGAAATTAAAAGTTCATACAAATACAACTGTTATCCATTTAACTGCTAATCGTGAATTTGCTAATTCACGATTATAGTTCAAAAGTTTGACGAATATCCATTTCTCTAATAAGCACATTGTGTAACTTGCATAATCCAATTAGTTTCTAAATGCCCCAGGATTTGTGACTAAAGTATAAGTCACCAAATAATTCCACGAAACACTCAACATCCTTCACCAATTTATAAACTTTCGTGAAAAGACAACACGATATCTGTTCTTATCGCTAGTGGTATAAGATAATCAATTGCTTGGTTGAGATATTGTGTGTTACTGTCAAAAGTCGATATGTAGACGCTCAAAGAAATGACTGGATTACTCTGCACAGAGAGCCAACGCCTTTGAACATATCCCACAATACATTTTAAGATTAAAGAAGAAAGTTAAAAATTTTCGGGAGGACGCTGGTTCAATTCCAGGTCAGTCCGCCTTGGTCTAAGTTTTTCTGTGGTTTCCTTGGATCACTTAGGCAAATGCTGGGGCAGTAATATTCCAGTATTCTGTCTTCATTTTGTCCGTATCATCTTTCTCACCCGAACCACCAACCACCCATTCCTACGATTCCTGAAAGGAGGCTGTAGAGGGTTTTCCGTCCTACTTTCCGGCGTAGTCCGGAGGGACTGCCCGCCTACCAGCATTGGAATGAAACACCTTTTTTTTTAAGAATATGAAAGCATTTTTCCAATAACATCCGAAAGTTATATCAAAATAAATGGATATTCGACTTAAGAATGTTTGAATTAGTCACAACTGTGCCCTGTATGTTTAAAATTGAAGAAAAGGTTTTCAATATTGCTCAAATTTGACACGTCCCATGGGGGAAAAATTAGCCATGAAATCGAAAAGCGTCTCAGAAACATCCCCTCCGTAACTAACTGTAATACAACTTTCAAGACTAGAAACAAGTAATGAATAATTATTATTAAAAAAGGAATAAATAATTAAATACATTATGGTATATTTAGGTTAATTTGATTTGAAATTCAATCTTAGAATGTTTTTCGGGATTTGCCGATTTCTTAGGATAATACATATTCATTAATGGATACATCAGTGTCCTTGTCAAAATTGTTAGGAAAATTATTATCCAAGTTTAATAGTCGTTGTTCTTACTAGACGGTTCTCTGATTGAAATGAGATGTTGGAAAGGCAGTTGGAACCGTAGGACTACCTAGGGTGGAAGACCAAACAACGATCATCAATCCCGAAAACTAATTTCCCAACAATGAGCACCAACCGTAAAAGCTTAAGCTTTTACACTACTTAATTATTCATCTGAATTGAAATGTAACCGAATTCAAAAAGAAATACAACAGACGCTCGAGTTAATTGTCTTTTCCTTCAATTACTATTTATATAAACGATCATTTCATTGACATAATAATAATATTAGTGTGAAAATTCATTTCCAATTTTTTACCCACTATAAACTACTTCAGGTTAATGGCGGAAAATTTGTTGCTGTTGTCACACATTCGCCGGGAATTGAACCCGGGACCTTTGGCTTTAGCACCAATGATCTGATATTAATCACTATTAAATGTCACACCACTTCATATATATAGTATACTTCGTTTACTTTCTGTAGCGATGTGACCTTCAGTTTGACCGGCGCAGAGTAGAAAAGAACAACACTAGACCAGAAAAGGAAGGAGACAACTCTCGGCCAAACTCTCAACCGGTGAGGAGTGTATAATCCGTACAGTACTGCACGGAAAAATTGACTATTTTATCCACTACAATTTCATTGCTCAAATGTGCTGTTATTGGTACCAATTACTACTGAAAATATCAACGAGATTTTTATTTATATTTGAAGATATATTAAAGGCTTTAACGCTTGTTTTCGACTAGCATTACTGTTCATGATTGAACAAAACTTTTGGCAGGTACTGTATGAATAGGTATGTTTAATGAACAAAAGTCAAGAGTATAATGGGCTTTTTTCTTCTTACCTACGATTTTGCTGGCGTGCATCCAAGACATTGGAAGGGGCATATCGCTAGAGAAAGTAAATGAAGTATAATATAATGATTGATTTCAACATATGTACATATTTTCTTATTTTCTTAATAAATTTTTCGTTTTGTAGTTATTATAGTCTCCTTACACATACATCCCTTATCAAACAAGTTTCTCCGAGTTTCCATCGTTAACTTGCATGTATGTTCTAACGAGACATAAACCAATTGTAAATTTTCAGGCTGAATTGTTCCATGCCCGTTTTATTTAACTACGATATGAAATCATAATTCGTTTCGGCTGTTGTGACGTCGTTTCTCCAATGTTCAATTAACGTCACATTTTGAAGTTTGTTCAAAAATGACCGACACAGTTTCCAAATGGATAATAAGCATTTAGTCTGATTAGATCAAACAATATTTCAAAGATCGGTAGGTTTTAAACAACATCTATAAATTGCAACAGGCACTTAAAACTGGAAAAATTTCGTGACTAATATTAGTTGTTCATAGTATCAGTTTTAAATATTAATGTGAAAATTCATTCTAATTTTCCTCCACTATAAATTACCTCAAATTAATGAGGGAAAAATCGAGCCCAGGACTTTTGGCTTTACGTACCAATGCTCTAACCACTACGCTACAAGAGGTGACAACAGCAACAACGATAAACCGTACTTATTAGGTCGTAGATCTGTCGAACTAATGTAACTAACTGAGGTAGTTTATAGTGGGAGAAAATTAGAACAAATTTTCACATTAATATTTGATATTAGCCCCTATTAAATGTCAAAGTGTTTCATATTTATGGTATCAGTTTTACTTTTATTCAAATTTAATGATACGGTAGAACTTGTTGATGAAATAACTAAGGCGTCAAAAGATGGAAAAGTAATTAGGAAAATTTTTAGAGATCGGGACATATTTCCTTACTAAGTTCACAAAAAATTTTGGAAGACACGTGAAACTAGTTAAACGTTGCGTTGGACCAATTTACCATCGACGTTTCGAACATTGCAACACCGTCCGTGCGGCACGTTCGTCAGCTAACCCTTGCAGCAGCAGTACCTACACCACCACCACCACCACCACTACCATCAGCGGCACCAGCACGGCACATAATCAAACTCCGTTTCTGGGGTATTGTCCCGGAGGGTAGCCACCCTCCGCCAGGTGGCGAGCGGCGCACGCCCGGCGTCGGGACGCTCTTAGTGTGGTGATGGCAGCCTCTCGGTCAGGACTCGTCATGGCACCACCAACGATAAAGTCAACGGTGTTTTTACCGGTTGTCATTCGCTTTTCTTCGCAGTTTTTCCGCGCTCCGGAATAAATTTTCGGCCGTTAGTAATAAACGTTAGTTATAAACGCATTCGTTAACGATCTTGCCGGTTTTCCGGTCGCAAATCCCGATAGCACACTCTAGATATACTCTTGTTCACACACATGCAAACCTACAGGATGATTATCTTGATTGCAATGATACTACTCACCACAAAGGGTAAGTTTATAGTCATAAAGATTTCCTCAATCACAACACTTATTTCCCTAGAAAATAGAAATGAGCGTTTTCTAGTAGCTAAATAGAAAATGGCCACCACATGAAAATCTTTTTTTTTTTTTAATAAAATTTTCCTACTCTACTACGATAATTACTGTAATGTTAAAGATTAAAATTTTTCTAATTTTACATTTTGTATGTTTTATTAGATATTAGGATTTTCCAATGTTTTCATCTGCATCTTGATGCTCGGTTAAAGTGTTTCCATTAGCTTTTCGAACGTGCTAGTTTTTGAACTGTTTCCGCCAACTCAAAGTGAAAGATTTGCGCCAATAAGAATGCTTCCTTAGAAACGTTACTATGGTTACTCTGTAGCGTCTTAGAATTAACAGGTGATCATATTTCCGTTGCTTGAGAGGCAACGATAATTTCGTTATCACGTTTTGGAAACTTTAATCCATCAACAAGTAACTTTTTATATTCTGTAGATATCTTTGGGCGAGGAAATAATTTATCTTTTTCGTCAAAGAAGAGTTAAAAGAAAATGTATCTATTTAAGAGCATATCTACCTACGTCAAATTTATAAACAATATTGAACTTTTCTCTCATTCTACTTTAATTTAGATTTACGTACTTTTATGGTGTAAAAAATGAACAAAGATGTCAAATATTAATATAATATATTCCTTATTTCCCATGCTTTTGTATAGAATTTGTTTTATATACATGAAATTTATAACAAATATAACACCTAAAAATAATTCAATTAGCTGTAAATTAGTGAATTTTATGTGCTAAAGTCGGGGGATGATACGGCGTTCGCTTGAAAATCGTGATTACTCTTCAATTATAAGGAAAACCAGTCATCTTTTACTATTCCTTTCAATGAGACATATATTACATACATTTTCCCTGTTTGGAATTAGAAAATTATAATTTTTTTCAGCAAAAACGACAATTAAACACAATATTTCTCATTCTGCATATATTTTTCTCAGACAACAAACTCAACTAAACAGAAAGTAATTCAATTTGATATGCTAAAATTTAACAATAGAAATTGAAAGGGCTTTTCCATCAATTATATCTATCCCAAAGTAAAATTACGAAATCACTTACAGGCATTATACCTTTACAGTGAAATGTGGGGTTTTTAACCAATATTACAAAACTATAAAATCTCACCGAATTTTTCTGAAGGAATTTCCCAACGTGCCGCATTTTCTAAAAAAGACTTTCGGCTTTTCACCATGTATCCACATTAACCACTAGATAATTAATTTCCTGCACATACTTTCAATAAAATTTGTAGAAAAGAAATTACAAAACATTATCTTTAAAATTAATTGAATTATATTCGCAAAACGCTTGTATATGTTCCAGTTCTGTCATAGTTGGTGGTAGATGTTAGCGCAACTATGCAGGAGAAATCTTTAATTAGATTGCAACTTACAAATTCGTCAAAACTTACTGTGCCTTTAAATTCTAATTGGGAATAATAATATTATATTTATTACCAAAAGCTTTTTTGATTTGACATTATTGTAAAAATTCCGACGTCGGTCTTTGCAGAATTTTAAAATTATCATTTTCAATTTCGTGATCGTTTTCTAAATAATTAATTTTTTATTTTTATATCTATTATGTTCCTTTAAGCGAATACCAAAAGTTCTGTCCATTTGACCAATATTTCTTGACAAAGACAAAGAATGTTAAAACATATGTTTGAATAAAAAAATAACTAAAGCATTTAAAAGCGTTTAAATTAATTCTACTTACTGCAACAGCCACTTGATAGCAACCATTTAATTATTTAATTTTTTATTTATTCTGTTTAATATAAAACCTAATAGCACTCTTAAATTTCCTAACTTACTTTTACTAAAAAGAAAATGAAAATGAAAATATCTGAGTGGCTTTTCTTAATTTTTTTTTTAATTCTACATGGCATTCTGCGTCTTTTGAAATACAAAACTGTGTCACCTACAGAGGTAGATCTACGTGGAAAATATCCATTATTTTTGTGGTGTCAGTTTTCCGAATATATAAAATTTCCATTTTAGACAATATGGTGGTAATATTTCAATATCGTATTCCATTTTGGTTGCGCATAAAATTTTTTGCCTCCACAAAAAACTGAGACTGTTCGTCTATAGATCTTAAAAGCTATTTTCAGAATAAAAGAACCTACAAGATAAAATTGACAACCAAAAGAACAGTGAGGCTGGAAGGACAAAGGATGTTTTGTGCAAAAAATTATGACACCATTTGCTTTTATCTGAACAGAAGTTTTTCAGACAATCGAGACGATCTGGCTTACTAATATTGTCTTCTAAAATATTCTATTCTCGTTCTTACTGATGCTGAAACGTAATATTGTAAGGCCTTTTCTAAGATAATATTAAATGCCCAGCTTTTGTCCTTAGCTTCGCTCACGTAATATTATTTACTTTAAAAATGTCATATTTTGAATTTTTAGAAGAATATATACTATCCTACATTTTTTTATAGATCTTAAACCTAACCATGAAAGGATGAAACACAAATTGAATAATATGTTAGGTACACAGGGACTGTAAATCCCTAATCTTATTTAAATCATAATTTTAGCGTATATTAATGCGATTTTATGCAAATAAATATTTTTAACTTTTTAGGAAGTATGATTATTCGATTGAAATAAATTATCTTTGATCGATTTTATCACATAAATAATTAAGGGTTGTCAAAAAATATAAAAACAAAGTATTGGAGTTTTAATGATAGAACGAACATCGTCTTTCCGGAAGGATAGAAACTCATCAGTTGAGATTTTTAGGTTCTAGGATACTTCTGATGGCATCAAAAGTCCTATCGAAATTTTGGTGGCCGATTTTGACCTAAAAAAACGATAACAGTTGATGCTGCACATCTTTCTGATGAGGCAAAAGTAGAAACTTTCTCGCTTTTCCGCGCATGCATATTCTCCTATCTGAGCTAATTTTAGCATTTCCCTAAAACTAGAACATCCCACAACTTTAACTATTTGAGGACAGTAATCTAATCAAGCTCTACCTCTACTCCTCTTAACTCCTTTGCCTTTGATTTGTCTCTGATTAGATTTTCATGCATGGGAAGGTATCCTAGCAACCTATCAAGACTATTTTTTATTGACTTCCATAGAGTCCTCTGTTCTCCTATTCTTTCTAATACGTCTTCATTTCTAACCTTCTGTATCATTTTGCACGTTTCTAACCTTTTCTTTTCCGCCGCGCCCACCGTCCATGTTTCGCACCCGTACAGCGCCGCGCTTCAAACATTCACCTTTAACAATCATTTTCGAATTTCTAAATTAATCGTTCGCGAGCATAAAAATGACTTTATTGGAGGTGATCCGACCCTGCGCTATCCTCTGCTTTATATCCGTACTACTCCTTCCACCTTGACTTATCTGACTTCCTAGATACCTAAAATCAGCAACTTCTTCTAATCTTCCGTCTCCTACCTTTATATTCGCTCTTTCCCTACTTCTCCTTCCCTTCATATTTATTTATTACGTATTTATAAATAATGTTGTTGTTACAACCTACTCGTATTGTGTCCGTTTTATTTTCGAGACCCGATGCAAATAGAAGCAGAACATCAATTAGGCAGAAATTTTACGCTTGTATTTATCTGCCTCAATGAACACTCAATAATCTGCTAATTGCAAGAGAGTTTCAGCAATTACGAAGCAATTAACATCAGTGCAAATCTCCTCTATAATTTTACGATCTCATTAAGATTCATCATTATTNGATATAATGCGCAGCCGCGCGGAGAGCGGGGAGTCCGCTAGAGTACCGGCGGCGCGTGCTGTGCTCAGCTGTTGCTTTCTTACCTTGTTGCGAGTACAATTCCTATTAAGTAATCCATAAAAAGCTTCAGTTTTAATGATGTTGGGTTTTGATTGACGTACAGAGAGTGATTGTTATTCGTGTAACAAGAGTCACCTATAGATTTTGGACAGTTTAAACAATAAAAAGTCACATCAGAAGAACATGGGCCGTAAATAGTTGTTATTATTTTTTAAATGAATTTACATTACGTAGTTTCAAATCCACGTACCTACCTACATATGTATCTATATGTTTATACCACATAACCCATATTTAGGATAAGTCATTTTACTACCTCTCGGAGTATCGTAAAAAAAAAAGCGAGGGTGGCTGTAAATAAAGGGCGTTTGTTGAAGTTCGCAGTGCATAAAATATTTCATTACTTCAAACATTTTCGGGTTTACGACGTTATAAAAAGAGGAAATCGCATTTTATAAACTATTTTCATGCTAAATATGAAAAAATTCCCATGGTGTAGAAAAAAAATTGCTTATTTAATATATACCATTAGACTGTATACGTATGCTGGACGTAATCTCCCCAAAAAATTGTAAATTCCACTGACAAACACCTTTACTACACTTTCAAATGTTTCATTTGACAGAAACTAAAGATAAGATAAAAGATAGATTTTCTGATTATCTCTTTAGTGACTATCACACACAATTTATAATAAGAAAGTAATTTTCCGAATTTTTAAATCGTCTTTTACCTAACAATTATATTGTAAGTATAGCAGAAAATCATTTTATGGACCATATTGCAGATTTAGCAAAAAAATTGATATTTTAATGTTAAGATGGGATACATAATCTTCGGTAAGACAAAAGCTTTCTTAATAATTAAAATTGTAAAAATTGTTTCGTAACTTCATTAATCATGTTATTTAATAAACACAGTCAAAATTTTCTTTATAGTAAAAAACAAATAAATTATAAACTTCAGTATTTCTTGAAAGTATTAAATAACCCCAGCAAGATGTTCAACAAAATTTATAGGTGAAGGTAAAGCACACGAATGTGTCGGAATGTGACGTTACAAATGATTTACACTACCGCAAATTTTCTTTAACACCCTACTCGGGTAACTTTACCGTAACATGGAACTTAATTAATTATCTCTCGAATAAAACACCTCCGCAT